TATCACAGTCTGAACATTTGGCGCATCCCTGTGTAACACATACAAAGGCAAAAGCTAGTTTTATATCTGAAGACTTTCACACAGACACTAAACCTTCCCACTGAATTTCATGTACAGTTCTGCAAACTTCCATTTAGTCCGTGTGTAGGCCTATGTTTCTCATGCCGACACGTGAAATTTTTGGTTAAAAATTTCGCTGCTTAGGAGTCGAACAGCATATTAACTGTTTTTGCACATGTCAGAGAGTAGCGCAGCGAAAATTTTTAACAGCAAATGTCTGCTGGAGAGAACTGCGCAGAACGCCTCACGCTCGCTTTCCTGGTACACGTCGCTATTTGAAAATTATGTTTTTAAGGAGCAGTTTTGCAGTATTTTATATGCGCTTTGCATGTCTACAAACGCAGAAACTTATACTGTGATGACCCAAATGCAGAAACTCATACTGTGATGGTGTGCGCAATTTGTGTATGTTTGTGTGTGATTTTATGTGTATGTATGTATGTGCTTCTATCCGAGCATTTTAACTCTGTAACCTGGCCTAGAGCCGCATCAGGAACGCTGTATCAACCTTATTGTATCTTTGAACTAATAAGCGGAAGCGCGAAATTTTTTTCCGGAAGATTCCTGATTTAGAGAGGAAAAAGCTGGAAAGCTGAAGTTTTTACTTGATGCTCCTTGTCCACGTACAACTAAAAGATTTCAAATCCAGCTCCCAGACAAGCACGTTTCTCACATATGTATACGTAAAACTTTTGGCAGAGAAATTTCTAGCCCGATTTCAATGAACGCCGTTCAACAGAAATCAATCATTTTCCTTCATGCGTGATTTGCGGCGATTTATGCCGATGAATGCGCAAGTTTAATATAAAGCAACAACCGTTCATACATCTAATGAACAGGTGGTTGCTTCAAGTCTATGGTAAAAACGCACGTCCGCGCCGGCAAGTCTGTTGTGATGTGACCTGGGTTTGTGTTTTTAGTTATTGCGATAAAAAACTATTACAATTTAAAAACTCTTACGGAAGAATCTGCTTTATCCATGTTTGATTTACTGCGATTTTTCGACAGCAGTCGGATGCTGGCACTTCTAGCGCTCAGACAATTTGAGCTATCTGCTTTTATTTCAAGTATTTCAAGAATTACAAAATAGTTTTAACTTGACCGCAATTGCGCCCTCAGAATGCCTGCCATCATCGGTAACAGTCTATCGACAGAGTTATTAAAGAAATTGGAAAGAAGCTTCTTCCTGCTTAATGAGAGCCGGTTTTAGATTGAAGGAGAAAATGGAAAACTTTTGCATTTTTTTTTTCAGGAAAATGATTGGTTATTTGTATGCTATACAAAATGGCGCACAATGGATTT